GTTGTCCAGTAGAGAAAATTAGGTTTTGACGGTTTGAAATTGAGGATGCCAGGGTGAAGATACCTTTTGTATGATGACGTCATCGTCATACGGTAAAAAGTGTTCGTTTTTTACCACTGATATTACGTCAATCGGTACACTTATGTTGTCGAAAGGTCCGTGAGCATGGTGAATGATTTTACATTAAACTGCAGACACATCTTCAGTCACTCCGTAAAAGAACACCCTTATTGTTCGCGATATCGGATAAACACTCTGGTCGCTTACTGAAGTTTCTTTGTTGTTTCCTTTATTTAGAATTAGGACTCTCTTGAGTTATCCATGCATGGACTAGCGATTTTAAACTCCTTCAAGAAAACGAAAACCTGGAATTGTCCCTAGGGTGGGGCATTTGCGCACAGTTTTAAACCCTCGGCGGGGCGACTGAGGTTTTTTTATTTCCTGTGCTCATCCCCCATTTTTCTCAACCCCTTCAAACCAATTTTCCGGTTCATCACAAAATACTTTATAGAAAGACCAAGACTCTCCTCAAAAAGAGCTTTGTGATTGGAACAAAATACCTGAAAATTTTGCACGGAACCGTTATTAATGGTACAGAAGATAGATTGAGTCTATTTAGGGACGCACCATTAGAAATCGGAGCGGCGGGGGGGGGAGGGGAGGGGTGGTGAAAAAGTTTTCGGGTGCAAGAATATTTTTAAAAAGCCCGCTTTTCTGCAGTAATCTTTTTCTAGTGCATATAACTAACAATATTGTTATTATATTAATAATATATATTGTTTTTAGACACGTTTCCCTTGCAGGAATTTTTTGTCGGGGAACTGTTTCCCCACCTCCGGTTATTTCCAATGGTCCGTCCCTTATTACGTTGCCAACGCCCAATTTGTAAAACCGGAAGTAATGATGTTTANGGGGGGGGAGGGGAGGGGTGGTGAAAAAGTTTTCGGGTGCAAGAATATTTTTAAAAAGCCCGCTTTTCTGCAGTAATCTTTTTCTAGTGCATATAACTAACAATATTGTTATTATATTAATAATATATATTGTTTTTAGACACGTTTCCCTTGCAGGAATTTTTTGTCGGGGAACTGTTTCCCCACCTCCGGTTATTTCCAATGGTCCGTCCCTTATTACGTTGCCAACGCCCAATTTGTAAAACCGGAAGTAATGATGTTTATTTCAAGGGCCCATGTCTCATGAGTTTTGAGCGAGTGTTTAAACGCTGTGAATACATGTAGCTGGAACTATCATCGCATCCTCGCTCACTAAAAATGATAACTTATATCAATTTCCATTATTTATTGCCTGGCTAAGATGTTCACGGATTCTTCAGTTCAGTAGTTGAAACAAGGGGGTTTCACATGAGTTGTAACGCCATGGAAGGAACGTCACGACCCGCGATATGCGTTGGAAATTGGCATCTTTGTCGTCGAGTAAGGTAATACATTATTATGGTTAATTTTAAAAGCTCTGGTTTCGGTAAAGGAACTGGAGGAAAATCAGGAAAATTCCAGTTCGACTGTGATGGTTGCATTTTGTTTACGCGTCGTAGCATAAATATAAAAATTCATTTTCCTTTTCCTTATACAATCTGCCCTCTTATACTGTTTTTTGCAGCAGGGCTATCGCTAATATTACAAAGGCTAATTTTATTATACAGATCACTCAAATTTAGTGGCAGAAACTCTATTATCGATTGTAATTTTGGCAATACCTGGCGAGTATCCGGTGCAAAGCTTATTGACAAAGTCGCTAGAACACTCTTCCATACATTACTTTTGTTTCTACTCCGTTAAATGTGCCCAATTTTTTTATTAAAGAACTCAATTTAACTACAAACAATGAGTATTCAGGCAGAGTGGCAAGCTTCAATGCGATGTGGCAGAGAGATATACGCCTTTGAATTTCTGTTAATTTTGCGGGTGCAAAAAATTCAAAAAGTATACCAACCAAAAGTTTAATCGATCGTTGCGAAAACGTTATCAATATCGAAGTAGTTTCTAGAAATACAGTGAAGAGGGATAGTTCTCTCAATGTGTATCGGCAAAGGAAGATTAGCTTTGAAGACAGGGTTGTAGTCGAAGGCTCAAAAACAGCTTCTATTAACCAATAAGGCGCCGGTCCGAGGCACCCAAAAACCGGCCATGTCGATAATTTCCGAAATAGGAGGAATTGGAACCTAAAGTTACCTATTTCTTATTAAAGACTCCAAATCAAGTCTACATGCCAATTTTTAGCCGATTCGGTGAGATAGTGTGGTAGCGACTTTTCAATATAGTTCGAATGTTACAGACAACTGCTCTTAAAATCATGAATATCTCATTTGGTGACATTTTGTTAACCTTTATAAGTCTCTATAAGATGTTACTTTTTCAAGTTATCGAATAGAACGTTCCTTTTTTCCTGGTAAGTGGGGCAAACAGTTAAAAAGCGGTATTCATCCTCCATTTCTAGTTTACAAATTAGACATACATGTTCTCTTTCCAAGTTTTCTATAAGGTCTTAAGTATCGGCCCATTTCTATGAGTTTGTGGCTGTTTAATCGCAATTTCGTTAACGTTATTCTGTGGCGGGTATTGCTTTGATGATCTGGCGAAGGTAATCTTCGCATTTGCACTGTTCTATTGTTTTGAATTTTTGATATGTTCTCACTTTGTTATTTTGATCAGCATCTCTTCTAATGTCGTTATTCACGTCGTTATAGACATCATTCATGGAAAACAGGTCTAGTTTAGTGTAATTATGATTAGTATACACTGTATACCTAGCAGATTTTTTTGAAAACTAGCCTAACGAAATTTCAATATGAATCAAGTGACTGAAAAGGCGTCATAAGGCAGATTTCTATAACCCGAAAAGCTCCAAGGAGAAGAGCTGAAAAGCAATGGTTGCACTCTTAGTTTTTATAATAGCTCCTTTGGCAGGGGCGTAGCCAGTTTTTGGACTAGTTGTAGGCCTGCACCTCATCAACCCTTTGACCTCTTAAGCGTTTTAGCTCACCCCAACAACGCATAGTTTATTACAAGCCGTAACGTTGGTGATAACGTTTTAAAAAATCCGGCTAGATATAGTAGAGACTTTTTAGATACGTATTTCTTGTCAGTTAGAAATTATGTTGTTTTATTTTATATTGTACCAACCTGATGAATTTTGTACCGTGTTAAAATAAAGATTTGACATTCATTTCTCCCATCCATTGTTCCAGTTCTTTGCCTTGTTGTGCCTATAACCCCTGTTGAGTAATGTCCTTTTATCCAAACTTTTCCCAGTCCTATCCGTCTAATGTGCATCTGATTTTCCCTCCAGAAAGCTTTATTTTCATTTCACTTTATGTTATTGTATATTACTTGCGATAATTCATTTTCTATTTTATCAGGGACTGACCAAAACTTAAAATTCCTTCACTACGCGTTAGTTTTTATTGAGAATTTTCCTGTCTCTGCCCTGCACGCATTATTATTGCCTTAAGGCCTTAAAGTCTTAAGGTCAGATAACGTGCTTTACATGCCCGCCGCCAACCAAGTTTAGGGAGAGGGAGAAATTGCCCCAAATTTAGGGAGAAGGGAGATTTACTTTGACGTACTTCCCCTCTCACTCTGATCAAAGATAAAATTTCAAATAATGACTTTCTATCTGACCAAAAGTTCCGTTCATGATATCAGCATCACATCTCCAAAAAAAAAATATTATTTGTAACAACCATTCTTTTCAATCTCAGTGAATAGTGGCCTCAGGAAAATTATTGTTTTGCTTTATATTCACCGCCTAGCGCAATTATTTTTATGCTATAGTTAGACTACATATTGCACATCTGCTTTAAGAGAACCCGCTGGCCCTCATACGGCATCCTTCCTGCGGCTGATCAACACTGTGTTTTTACTTTTTCTAGCTGATATTCACTAGAATCATTCCCATTTCCTTTCAAAAAAGGAAAGGGAAACAGGGCCTAAGTGAGTAAGTACTTAAAGCAGCGCCTAAAAATGTGGGTGTGTTCTTAAGACTGCATGAAGCATATGAGGGAATGACAGATTACCATCAAGACGTTGGAGGACATGCAGCTGAGGGTCAAAAACAAATCCTAATTTCCAACATGTGTAAAAACTCGTCCCAGGTACACCAAAATGAATTTTTACCGTCCTGGTTGATTTATACTGTCAAATATATCGTTTGATATTTGTTTTTTCGTCAGATATGTTGTGTCGTTTATTAGTGAAAAATAATGAGGGGGAAGGGAGGGGGGCAGGCCTAAAAGAGGGGGAGGGTAGGTGGGGCTTACTAATTTCCCTCCCCTAAAAAGGGGGCAAGGGGTAGTGATTAACGGTAGTTTCAAGACTCAAGAGATATCTTTCCTTTATACACTAATTTTACCACCATTCAGGTCAACCGTGGGTATTGTTCGTTCCGCCTTGATCCTATTACCACTATACATTTCTAAACAACATTTCTACTTTAAATCATCATACTCCCTATACACATCTTTGGTGAACTCCTGGAGCAACCCTCGATAGAGGATCGTAGTTAATTCACTTACACGTTAAATTCATAGGACAGGTGAAGTATTTTTTGTTAATTGGAAAACTACTCAGTCTTCTTTCGCACACTTTGTCAAGATTGCTGGCTTGACTATGGTTTCTACAATCCAAAAAATCGGTTTCCTCTTCAATGCATTTAAAGCACTTTTTGGGCACCCAGAGTATGATTTAACCTCTAGAAATGCATTCTAAGCAGCGCTATAAATTTTGTACCTGTAAATTAAACCGCATAAAATCGTAGGCATTATTTGCTTCTCCGAAGGGATATCTTAGAGAAAACGGTCTTTGGGTCCCCCATGTATGGTGATGTATACCCTATACACCACTATAGACCTCTATGGTAATGTATAAGGGTGTATGAGGATGTATAGGAGTGTATAGTGTGTTATACATAGGATGGTGTATGGTGATATATGGGAGTGTATGGTGGTGTCTAAAGGGGTATGGTGATGTATAGAGGAGTATGGTGATAGGGGTGCATAGTGTTATAAATGGATGTATGGTGATATATAGGGGTGTATAGTGATCTATAGAGGTGTATGGTGATGTATGGGGTTGCATGGTGTTATACATGGATGTATAGTACTGTATAGTACTGTATAGTGCTGATGTATAGGGGTGTATGGTGTTGTATAGGGCGGCATGGTGATGTAAAGGAGTATATGGTGATGTAAAGGGGTGTATGGTGATGTATACGGGTGTTAGGCCTGGGGTGTTTGGTGATATAGAGGGCCGTATGGTGATGTATAGGGGTGTAGAGTCTTGTATAGAGGTGTACAGTGATGTATAACAGTGTGTGATGTTTTAANTTTTTTGTTAATTGGAAAACTACTCAGTCTTCTTTCGCACACTTTGTCAAGATTGCTGGCTTGACTATGGTTTCTACAATCCAAAAAATCGGTTTCCTCTTCAATGCATTTAAAGCACTTTTTGGGCACCCAGAGTATGATTTAACCTCTAGAAATGCATTCTAAGCAGCGCTATAAATTTTGTACCTGTAAATTAAACCGCATAAAATCGTAGGCATTATTTGCTTCTCCGAAGGGATATCTTAGAGAAAACGGTCTTTGGGTCCCCCATGTATGGTGATGTATACCCTATACACCACTATAGACCTCTATGGTAATGTATAAGGGTGTATGAGGATGTATAGGAGTGTATAGTGTGTTATACATAGGATGGTGTATGGTGATATATGGGAGTGTATGGTGGTGTCTAAAGGGGTATGGTGATGTATAGAGGAGTATGGTGATAGGGGTGCATAGTGTTATAAATGGATGTATGGTGATATATAGGGGTGTATAGTGATCTATAGAGGTGTATGGTGATGTATGGGGTTGCATGGTGTTATACATGGATGTATAGTACTGTATAGTACTGTATAGTGCTGATGTATAGGGGTGTATGGTGTTGTATAGGGCGGCATGGTGATGTAAAGGAGTATATGGTGATGTAAAGGGGTGTATGGTGATGTATACGGGTGTTAGGCCTGGGGTGTTTGGTGATATAGAGGGCCGTATGGTGATGTATAGGGGTGTAGAGTCTTGTATAGAGGTGTACAGTGATGTATAACAGTGTGTGATGTTTTAACTGAGTGTATAATGATGCATAGAATCGTATGCTGATGTATAGGGGTGTAGAGTCTTGTATAGAGATTTATAGTGGTGTATAGGGGTGAATGGTGTTGTCTAGGGGTGTATGGTGATATATAGGGGCATACGTTGATGTATAGGGGTGTATGGTGATATATAGGGGTGTACGTTGATGTATAGGGGTGTATGGTGATATATAGGGGTGTATAGTCTTGTATAGAGGTGTATGGTGATGTATAGGGGTGAATAGTGTTGTGTAGAGTATATGGTGATGTATAGGAGTATATGTTGTATAGGATGTATGATGATGCATAGAGGTGTATACTGATGTATAGGGGTATATGGTGATGTACAAGGGGTGTGTGGTGATTTGAAGGAGTGTATGGTGTGTGTTTCAAGAGGCTCTATGGTGATGTATATTAAAGGGTGTGTAGTGTTTCAAATGGGTGCTAATGGTGATGTATAGAGGCGTATGGTGATGTATAGGGGTGTATGGTCTTGTATAGAGTTGTATGGTGATGGTGTTAACAACAACAAGCTTTATTTGCATGACCATACATGTACATATAGTATTGCAAAAGCTACTTTAAGAGAAAAACAGAAAAACTAAAATTTCATCTTATTGCAATTAGTTTACTTCGCTGACCATTTTTCACGGAAATGAAAGCAAGCTGAAATATATTTAACAATTGTAAATTAATATAGTAATTTGAGGAGTTCATCAGTTCATTGATCAGATCCTTGACCTGTAATTGGGTAATATTTGGAATCAGAGTATTTGATTGGACTCACAGAGTAGGCAATGTCTATTTTCTCTAGAGATCTGATTGTATCTACCTTGTTCTATCATTTATTTGTGATTGCTAATTCGTAATTTGACTAATGTCTTTCTCTCGGCTGTTCCTCTTGTTAAATCTAGATAATTATAAATGGTTTACTCGTTTTTAAAATGAGAATGTTGGAGGGTGTTTTTCCAATGGGAGATATATTTTTGTTTCATCAAGCGTACAAAGGTTTTGACTATTGCGGTATCTAACAAATTAAGATTAAAGTCAGGTAGGTTGAATTCATTAGATGGGAGTGAAAGCTACTTTTACCATTGGAGTGTCGATCAAATGACATTAAAAGGTTTGTTTGACAAAAGAGTCTTCGGTTTTAGACTGAATATATAAAATGTAGTTGAGAAGTTTTTGAGTAATAGTGATACTTCAAGGAAAGCGACCAAGTTCAGCCCTACATGCTATATAAGAAGCTTTGTTATTTACCCCTAAGTACCGTTTGCAAAATTTTTTTGTTTTTTCAATTTGTATACCGTCCCAAGCCTTAAAATGTGGTTTTGCATACACACCCCAAATTTCACTATTATATGTAGTGCAGGAAAATGGTGCAACATTGTTCAAATTCGTGTTAACAGCAGGAAATTTTGCAGAAGTTTAGAGGTTTTTTTCCCTTAGTAACTCTAGATAGGACGTCACCCCTGAAATTGAATACTTCCAGTTTTATAGCCATGGATTTAATTATCATTTAAACAGCAAAAACACAGCCTTTAATTTAAAGAATGGGTCCGAAATTTATAAGAGCAGTAAGATACAGTGTAGTACACAGTGTTATCTATAGAACCATGCCCTCTGATGGATACTTCCAGAAATAAAGACGAGGAATAATTATAATAAAAATCCATAAATTATACACTGTTTAAGCTTGTATATACTGAAACTCTTGTATATCAATAAATGTTAATGTTTCAAATAATTCTAGATAGGACGTCACGCCCCAAATTGCCATTAAATTGCCAAAGTGCCATTAAATTGCCATTAAATTGCCAAATTGCCATTAAATTATCATTTAAGAAGCATAAACACATCCTAAAAGGAAAATAATGGGTCCGACATTTATAAAAGCAATAAAATACAGAGTAGTGTACAGTGATATCCAAAGTACCACGCCCTCTGATGGATACTTTCCGAAATGAAGACGAGGAATGCATTATAAAAAGTACGTAAATTATGCACTGTTTAAGCTTGTAAATACTTAAACTCTTGTTTATGGATAGATGTTACCGTTATAATTAACTCTAGATAGGAAGTCACGACCCTTTTCAAGTACTTTCAGTTAAACAGCTATGGAATGGATTATATAATAAAGTGCTGGAAAATATCATTTCTAGGGTGAAATCAGAAGATTCAAAAAGTCACCGTGATTGGCTACATTGGCGTTTGTATATCTATGGCGCCTTTTGGTGGATGCTTACGGAGAAATAGGTGCTACGTTGCTATTACCGAAAGTAAACAATATAGAGTAACAAAAATGCCCACACGCATCATAGTTCTATACTTCCATCTCATCGATAATATTTCCATGCAATTATCATGACTAAAAATAATTTCACGTCTTTATTGACTACTTTTAGTTGTGCAGTCATCGAATTAATTTTCACAAAATAAAATGAAGGTAACCAAAAACTTTTTCCGAGCTAAGGCTCTGAATGACGTTTCATGAGCAACGCAACCCCTTCTCATTTTTCCTGGCTGTGGCATCAGGTTCCTCTATTAATAAAATCAAAGCTCCATCTTAGAATCCAGTGAGCAAAACTCATGCCAAATCCTAAACACCAATGACATAGTGTATGCTAAATACTCCTAATATGATCCGCGATCTGCACTCTTGTCTGATCCAATTTACTTTGCTTTTTGACTCGGTGCCAGCTGGTAAGAAAAACAAAATATGAGTCCAAAGAATGCGTTACAAACGTTAGATAATCTTATTTAGACAGCAGTAGCTCAACCTGATTTTACTTACCTACAGACGAGTCGACGAATGATCATTACCGCTCACATTGTCCTCTGCACTTGCACAGGGCAGTACATGGAAGTGTGACTTTAAAAGTCACATCTTCCATGTACTGCCCTGTGTAGTACAAATGTGCAGTACACATTTGCATCACCCTTTATATCCCTTCTCAGGCTGACAGCTACATTTCAGCAACAGTTCACATACCTTGGACACTTCTGGAAGTAGAGTCCAGACAGGCTGCCACTGGCCGCTTGAAGACTGCTGCCACGCCATTCTTTTGGAGACGGGAAATTTGGACTGGCTATGAGGGCCTGACCCCAACAATGTAGGCTGCCCGCTTAAAATGCTGCAGTAGAGCAGCAGACGTGGGTGGAATTGCATCTATTCTGGTCCTTGTGGGGAATAAATACAACCTTGCTTCACTTGCTGAAACACAGCTACTGGTTCTGTCATACATTAGAACGACGAAGCGATCCAGGAGGGGAAGGGACTCGTAGACTGCCTCAGTGTTAGGGTTATTACTTAGAGTAGTAAACGCTGGAGTAACATCCTCATAGACGTTCCATGTGTCCCAAGCAGGTTTGTTGCCTTTAGCATAAAAGGACAAGACTTGGTCACAGCCAGTGGGAGCATGAAATGCCGGTAGAGCTAAACTTTTCTCAGGACCCAAACCAGCTGCAATTTTGTAAACCTCGATGTAGCGGAATGCTTTGCCAGAACGAAATGCAATCCATATTTCGCTGGCACTGAGCCTCCGGAACACATAAATAGCTATAACACCCACGTCGGTATCAACTGTGCGGATCAATAGCCTCTTATTGCTTTCTCTTACTGAATCCAGGCAGTGAACGAAAATTCTCTTATCAGCTTCCTCGTGCGTGCATGGTCATAAATCACCAATATCTCCACTTTTGCTGCCTAACACTGACTGGTCGTAAGATGATATTACCTTCTTATCGAAACAGTCAGTGGTCGAGCACGTCCCTGCCAAGAACCTCAACAGTTCCTTTTTGTTTTCGTCTACCCTGAGGAATCCATCCCAGTTCGTTGGTATGGGACTGTTAGGCTCAACTCGCCTTCTCACCCCGTTGCCTCGCGTCTCCCTGGTGTGAGCTTTGAAGCTGCTGGCATTATAAGCATCCCGTCTATCCTGTTGACATGAAATTTCAGCTGCTGTTGCACGTAGCTCAGAAACACTTCTTCCCCGTATTGCTCGAAAGTCTTACGATGCCCAGGCTTCAACATGTTAACAATTGCCGCATATGTATTTTACTCTTACTGCTCACTGCGAGATCTTGTGGTTTTTTCGACCTGTTGTCAGTACTCTGGATAGAACCGAAATGTAAGTGAAAAAGACGATGTCTTATTAATTTCCTGACTTCTCAACTGGAAATACTTTATAAAGGGCGTTGCATCATTCAAGACATAAAAAGTGCATAAAAATATTATTGTCGAGAGGAAGTACAGAATTTTACGACATGTGCGGGCACTTTTAGTGCCCAATTGTACACTTCCAATAATACCAAAGCAACCTTTATTTATCTGTAAGTATCCATCAAAAGGCGTCGTTTCATCCATAGAAATACAAATTGCAATGTGGCTTATCATGGTGACATTTTTTAGTCTTTTGATTCCACCCTAGAAATGCTATTTATCTGCGTTTATTTATATAATCCATTGCATAGCTGTGTAACTGGACGTACTTGAAAAGGGACGTGACTTCCTATCTAGAGATATTTATAACATTAACAGTTATCCAAAAACAAGAGTTTAAAAATGTACGAGCTTAAACAGTGCATAATTTCCGTGTTTTTATTATAATGTATTCCTGGTCTTTATTTTTGGAAGTATCCATCAGAAGGCGTGCTTATATGGATATCACTGTGCATTACACTGTATCTTATGGCTCCTATAAATTTCGGACCCATTCTTTACCTTTAAGGCTGTGTTTTTGCTGTTTAAATGATAACTAATTCCGTGGCTATAAAACTGGAAGTATTCAGTTTGTGGCGTGAATATCCTATCTAGAATTAATTGTGACATTAACATCTATCCATACACAAGAGTTTAAGTATATACAAGCTTAAACAGTGCATAATTTATGTATTATTATAATAATGAATTCCTTGCCTATATTTCTGGAAGTATCCACCAGAGCGCGTGGATAGCACTGCGCACTACACTGTCTCTTATTGCTCTTATGGATTTCCTATTCATTCTTTAACTTTAAGCCCGTGTTTTAGCTGTTTAAATAATAACTAATTCCATGGCTATAAAACTGGATGTATTCAATTTGCGGGGTGATGTCCTATCCAGAATTACTCAGGACGTAGACCTCCATACCTCCGCCAAATTTCATGCTTTTAACACTAATTTAAACAGTGTTGCATGTTTTCTGCACCATTTTCAACGTATTCAGGAGTTGCTACAAATTAATGTTGGTGGTTGTTTTTATAACT